TAAAAAATTTTAAGCACACCCCTGGTCCTAATGTCATGAAACATTTTCTGTGGCCAGCTGTTAATGTTTGTACACTTATGTAGTTCAACAAGGGCTACTTTCAAGGCAGAAACATCTTTGAATATCTCACTGAATTTTTAAAGAACTTTCCCAATAAAGGCAATACAGATATCTGGAAAGAAAATATATCTGAAACAATGACCCAAGGAGTCATAGATTGTCTAATTTTTTTTCTAAATATATTCTGGAGCAAATTAATTGGAAATAAAAAAGAAAAACTATTCAGCAAATCAAACACCTTTCCAAATAAAGTCTGGTGTTTTTTTTAAAAAAAATATCCTTTTTCTTAATATGTCTATTGAAGGAGAAGGAAATGTTAGTTACAGAGATTATTCTTGGGATTCCCAGATTTTAAATTATATGGTGAAATAAAACCAATGATTTCCATGGGCAATTTTTCAGGCAGTTATGGGTAAAATCATACTAATAAGCTGAATTCATAGAGATACAGCTAGTTAAAACTACATCTGAATATGGGGGCAACACAGTTAGTGTTTCATAGATTTTACCAATTATATTTAATATTGTAACAATCCAGTCATGAGAATTGTGATTTTATAGAAATATTAAGACACCTAATCAATAAAAAGAAATCCGTTGTGGTGCCAATGGAGTGTGAAATCATGTTAATAATGTTCTATTATTAATCCTGCTCCCATATGTGATACATACAGTGAAAAAAACATTCATTTGGCAATTCTGCAGCATGCAAACAAAAATGCTCACATCAAAGCAAAAGGAATATTTGACTTAAACAAGACAAAATTCTGGATGCACCAGTATTTTAAAGAAAAATGTATGCACATATCAAAATAAGTAACACATGGTACAAGAAAATTAGAATTAAAAAGCATTCTGGAAAATAAACAGGCATACATTTTATATTCTTTTAAATAACAGGAGGAATAATTTGGCAAGTGAACACAGAATAAATACAGTGATAAATTTACATTTCCCTTTAGTGTTATTTCTATAACAGGGACAATGAGTTAACCTGCTGTCTTCTTTTTCTGACAGGCATCACTAATCTTGTAGTTATTTACAATTCTATACCATCAGCAAATGAATTCTCCTGAGCAGTAATTGTATTGGGCATTTTAGCCTTCATTTTTTTAAAAAAAAAAAAACAGTTTTTATTACACATTTGTGTCCCCTGCACTGAAAAGTCCCAATAAATATAAAATCTCTGCCATGAGGATTAAATGCAAGAAGTCAAAGAATTATAATGAATCAATTTCATTGTTTATCTATAATGTACCACTTTGGTTAAATGCTTTCATTTTAAAATATATATTTTTTAAAAAATGTAGAAAATCCAAATAACATTTTATGGCTACCTATTGAATTCCATTAACAGATTAACAGAGTTGGAAGGGACCTTGCAGGTCATCTAGTCCAACCCCCTGCTCAAGCAGGAGACCTACATCTGCCTCTACCTAGGATCGAATTCACAACCTCCATGAGCCAAGGTGGCGCAGTGGTTAGAGTGCAATACTGCAGCTACTTCAGCTGACTGCTAGTTCAGCAGATCAGTGGATCAAATCTCACAGGCTCAAGCCTTCCATCCTTCCGAGGTGGGTAAAATGAGGACCCAGATTGTTGGGGGCAATATGCTATTTAGTATACTGTCTTTGGTGTAAGCCGCCAAAAGAGTCCTCGGAGAGTGGGCTGCATAGAAATACGAATAATAAACAAATAAATAAATGAATGGCTGTGTTCAGATCATTTCTGGAGAAATCTGCAGATGTCAGTTCTACAAGGCAGTGCCTTATCAAGCTGTTGATGTTCTATACAGTTGGAAGATGACAATATACATTCATTCATTCATTCATTGCATTTGTATAACTTGCCCTTTCACATACAATCCTGGGTGACATACAATATTGTACATTTGACAATTTGAGAGAGACATTACAATGGCTAAGTACAATTGTTATTTATTTATTTATTTATTTATTAGATTTCTATACCGCCCTACTCCCGAAGGACTCAGGGCGGTGCACAGCCAAACAATAAAAACACATACAATACAAAATTTAAAAAATAGAATAAAATCAAATTAAATAATTTTGGCCCCGACAAATTTAAAACCCCAAACTTTTAAAACCAATTTAAAATTGAATATATAAATACTAAAAAATATTTAAAATTTTAAAAATCTTTTATAAAAGAGGGGGAAAATTAGGCCAGGCCGGCCTGGTGAAATAGTAAGGTCTTTAAGGCGCGGCGGAAGGTGCGCAGATCCGGGATCCTCCGTATCTCTGGGGGGAGCTCGTTCCAGATAGTAGGTGCCCCCACAGAGAAGGCTCTCCCCCTGGGGGCCGCCAGTCGGCATTGTTTGGCTGACGGCACCCGGAGGAGCCCCTCTCTATGGGAGCGTACCGGCCGGTGGGAGGCTATTGGTGGTAGTAGGATAATTACTAATTCACTCCCTTTTAATCTGGGGAAAAAACTGGGGAATTAGAGATAGAGTATCACAACTTCCTAACGACCATGGAAAAGAAAGAGAAAAATATTTTTCCAAGATATTAAAAGAATGTATCACAAGGTTAAGTGTATGAATCTGTCCATCTTCTTGGCCATTATTTTTTTGTTGCCGCAATGATATATCTTTGGTTGTATTGATGCCAGTTCAAGTTTGGACACTCAAGATGCTCTGAACTCAAAGTTAAATCTACCAAAGGAAGGAAATTTAGCATTTGTTGAGGCAAATTAAATGCCAGTGTTCCTGAGCTATTTATGTTCATTATGATGCCGATCACTGGATTTAATTTAGGTTTTCATATCTGTGGAGTGTTTTGTAAACAACATAGCAAAGATTGCACCATGATGAGCCATTTATAATAGTGTAATATAGTGGAAGGGCAAAGCTATCCAAATAAGAGAGAGAGAGAGAGGGAGAGGGAGAGGGAGAGGGAGAGGGAGAGGGAGAGAGAGAGAGACAGAGACAGAGACAGAGAGAGGGAGACAGACAGAGAGAAAGGAAGGAAGGAAGGAAGGAAGGAAGGAAGGAAGGAAGGAAGGAAGGAAGGAAGAGATCCTTGTGCATGTTCAAAAGTTAAAGCAATACCACTACGGCAGGGGTGTCAAACTAAAGGCCTGGGGGCCAGATCCAGCCCGCGGGGTACTTAGATCTGGCCCACAGGACCGCCCTGGAAACAGTGAAGGATCAGCCCATGGTGCTTCTGCCAATGAAAATGGGCTCCCAAGCTCCATTTTCAGCTGTCAAGACGTCCTACAACACTCTGCCAGTGAAAACGGTCCTCCCGAGCTCAGTTTTCACTGGCAGAGGGTTGCAGGAGGCCATAGCAGCCGAAAATGGAGCTCAGGAGCCTCTTTTCACTGGCAGAGCACTCGGGCCACCACAGGTGCCCCCAACAGGAGTGATGTCGAGCTGGCCACACACCCCTGGCCATGCCCCCATGCCCCCCCCGAGGTCAAACACAACCCTGATGTGGTCCTCAATGAAATAGAGTTAAATCCTCTGCACTAGGGTTCCATAGGGTATATAAAAGAAAGTCAAGATGACAGCCTTTTGCAATTGTCATCTTGACCTTGTTGGCCATACCCAGAAGACACACTTCTGGATGCCAAAGAGAAATACTTATTTTAGAGACCAGACTTTCTTGACTCCAAGTGCCCCATCTGAACACAGGTGACATTTAGCATGACAAAGGATCTGATGGTGAAAAACCCTTGGATGATCCATTTTTAAAAGCACAACTAATTCCAGTTTCAGAGAATAAATATTTTAGAAAGACATCCATCTTATTTCAACATTGGTCTGCTTTCCAATTATAACTAGATGCATTTTACTAGAATAAGAGGATAGCTCCACTATATATAAAATTCCATTTTTCAAGGACCAACCCTGCCCTTCAATTTTCTATTAAAATATTTTTTCTTTACGTTTTGCAGGCTACTATTCTAAAACGTTGTCAAAAGCTGTTAAAAACGCCGCAAATTGTACAGTAAGCACAGCTCAACAGCGCCACCTTGTGAACCTACTTTGTGTGCTTATTCTTCCTAACTCCTCCAAGTAATGATTTTAATAGAGTATTTTTCTTTTACATTGTATGTTCTCCAAAAGGGAAAGTCATCCCTGTTAGCAAGTATTTCATATCCCTAGCCAGTGATGGGTTTCTTTCTGATTCCTCTCAAAAATCGGTTGTTTTCTTGCAGACATTTCGTTACCCAAAGTAGTTTAAAATTATTTTGGCCTGTTTTGTAAGGGATGGGAAATTAACATGGTTGTATTATATTGATCAGCATTCAACTAGGGAAGATGTTATGTGTATATGTGTTAATCTCTTTTTAAGACACTTTTTAAAAATGTTTTTTTTTGTTGTTTTTTAAAATATTTTGGCGTTTTGTATTTTAACTTTTTTTGACTAAATTAAATATTATTCTAAAAAAAAAGCCATGATAATCATAAGGATAAAATATTGGAAAATAGGGACAATAATAATTCCAAAAAATATAAAATTAAATGAAGAGCCAATTGTCAACTTTTTCTTCTTCATGTTTCACAGGAAATTAAAATTTCTCTTTTAACTTTGTGAGCAAGTGTGATGTTTGTGATTATTCTCCACACAAAGTCTACCAAAGCCAAGTGCTATTTGTACAATTTTTAAAGATGCATAGGGTGACAAATCTACTGACATGCACTTTAAAATTGGTAACTTTGAAATCAAAAGAACAATCTGCAAAAGCTAAGATACTGTACAAATAATTTTCAGTGGGAGCCTTTTCCTCATGTGAGAAATTAAATCACGATAACCATGTCTACACTTCCAATTAAGAATCATATGAAGGTTCCTTAAAGATACATTTTCTAATTTGCAAAATTTTCTAATTTTACTTTGTATATCTATGAAGAGGGAGGAATCCGTTACAACTGGAAGAGCACTCTTGAACATATTTCACAGAGACAAAAAAGCTAAAACAAAGTCTATCATTTATTGCTTATTAACACAATTGTGTTAATATTTGGTTTGTGATGAAAAACTATATTTATTTTACCTTATTCATTGCTAAGAATTCTTATTGAGTACAGTTCTAAATATTTGTTTTCACATAAGCATGCTTCACCTCAAGTATCATGGCCCTTAAATATAAGGAACACTGATTTGGTTTTTATTTTTTGGCATTTAGCATGCAGAATGAAAAAATCTCAGGTTTTATTAAAAAAAACACATTTTAACTGCCATAGTTTGACATTACGTTGATAACAAAATCAATCAGCAGAACTGTCATCTTATATCATTGAGAACTGATATTTGGTTAATAATAACAACAGGCCCTGTAAAGACTTATGATTTATGCTGAGGCTACAAATTTATTTATGTCCTCAATATAGCAACCTGTGGTATCTAGAAGTTCTTTCAGCGATTAACAAATCAAGTATATTATACAATATTTGCCCATGATATGTGATTTAAGTATGGTTCTTTAGCTCATAATCAATTTGTTCCTTGCTCACATTATAATCCTATCTATTTCTACATAGCCCCACTGATTGAAAGTTTCCTGCCAGGAAAATATTCAAGATTTCAGCCTTAAACTGAAGCACATTAGTTGCAATAAACTGATAATTGTGTGACTTTTTACCTGTATCCCTGGACCCCAAATATTATAAAAAAATTAAATGTCACAGAAGCACAAAACAATATTACCCAAAATCGGTAAAAAGACAGTATAATAATTGAATGGCATCAAATCAAACTTATTTTCAATTACTTGATACATGTGTACAGAAATACAATGAAAACAGTCAAGGTTTATGATTTCTGTAGTATAATCAAAATGTCCATTACATTCACATTATTTTGGGAATATGGGTAAAATAATTTCCCTGATCTTTTAAGAATTACTGATGGTGCCCTTATATAAAAACAATCCAAAAACCCTACACATTTCACATTTCTTCCAATACAAAAACATCCAGAATACTTCATTTTCCTTGATGAAGTTTTAAAATGGTAACCTCTTATTTGTAACAAAAAGCTCTAGAACAGGTTTTAGGAACCAAAATGTTACCACATAAATCTCTGGATTTCCTCACTATTTGGCCAGTGAAACGGTTTGTTCAAAAAGAGATAGAAAGTTATTGCATTCACCAAACTATATATAATCAACTCTAAGAAAAGTTTCAAAAGTGATGGCATAGGAATATTAAGCCTGTATATAATATATGGCAAAATAAAGTAACGGAATTCTAGAAGCTTTTGTGGAACTGTGACTGCAAAGAGACATACAAAATATACTAAGTTCCAGAAAACAGATTTTGACTTCAGTGCATCTGTGAAACTCCAGCCAGCAAATATATAAACTGGAACTAATAAGTACTTGACAAGCTCATGTCTTTGAAAGATTTTTCTCCACACATAAAATGTATAATGTCTGTTATCTGCAAGCAAATACTTATGGGCATAAGTAAATTTCCAGATGAGGAATAAAGAAACAATTGTGAGGACACTGTATCGCAGAAAATAGATCCTCACAGAATGGAGAAAATTGATAAATTTACCGGGTGTCACTAGAAGAGGGAAGGAAAAAAAAAGACTAAAAGAAAAAAAATAAAATAGCTGAGGGAAGTGCAGGCAGGCTTCATGGCTGCTCCTGTCCCCAAGAACGATGCCGCCATTGAGGACAATGAAAGTAGCAAATAACACTATCACAGTAATGTATGGCCATATCAAGAGAATCAGATTGCTGAAGTTTTTAAGTGACATAAAGTACCCAAGGAGAAATCGAACAATCCTGATTGACTCTGAAAAGATGTTTTGTGTTGGTAAGTTTTTCTTCTCTTTGCTTTTCAGTAATTCCACTTTCCAGCCTTCACTTAGTTTTTCTGCAACAACACTTCCGCCACAGAAGACAGTCCATACAATATTCGTCTGGCGAAACATAACCCCACAAAATCCAAGGCATGCTGAGGTTTTATGATTGCCATAGAGACACATTAAATAGGCGAAGAGGGTAAAAAACGTGGACCCCGTGTCAGTATAATAAAGGAATGTAAAAAAATAAAGAGGTGGAAATATTGCTAGTGTCAAGGTTGACAGGATTCTCTGGAATCCAGAGGCAGCCTAAAAGATAGAGGGGGAAAACAAGAAAAAAGAATCAGGGCGATTGTGTCTAATAAAAATTAAAAACAACATGGGCAAATTCACTAGGAACTTGAAATGGAAATAACTTAAGATAAAAATATGAGCATTAAACCATAGCACACCCCGTTAAAGTTCATTGTTAGAAATTCAGCTCCTAAAAAAAAAGTGTTGTCCAATTAATGGAATTTTGAATAATCATATTGCTGCATTTCAGTAACTGATTATGTTTGCCCATGAGCAAAAACATTATCTGCAGAGTCGAATTTGCTTCTATGATTCACACATTGACATCACTTTAGAAGAAGCAATTTTGCTCCTTTTAGATACAAAAAGTTTCTTTTACAAGGTAAGGTTACGATTTGCAGATTTAATAATTAGCATACACATGCACCAAACACATATTTAAAATAAAACATTTCACTAACACATCTGTTACAGGTAGTCCTCAACTTACAACAGTTCATTTAGTGACCATTCAAAGTTTCAGTGCCACTGAAAAAAGAGACTTATGACCATTTTTCACTTACAACCTTTGTAGCATTCCCATTATGTGACTAAAATTCAGATGCCTGGCAACTGGTTCACACTTATGACCGTTGCTGTCTCCCAAGGTCATGTGATCCCCTTTTGCGACCTTCTGACAAGCAAAGTCAAAGGAGAAGTCAGATTCACTTAACAACCGGGTTATTAACTTATCAACTACAATGATTCACTTAACAACTGAGGCAAGAAAGGTCGTTAAACAGGGCAAAACTCACTTAACACATGTCTCACATAACAGAAATCTTGGGCTCAGTTGTGGTTGTAAGTGGAGGACTACCTGTATTTGATTATTTGTAATTTTTTTTTAATATTAAGGAATGGAAATAAAGCTGGTAGGTAATAATAAAAGATGCAGAAGCACCAGGAGCAAAAGAAAGTGTATATTGTATGTATATGTAAAGCAAAGTAGAGGAAGAGAAAAGCATGTCTATTTTTTGTCCAATTTGGCTTTCAGGTTCTGCGTCTCAGTGCAAATTCTCATCACTACTATCACTATCCCAAAATGAAATGTCAACAATGTCTTTTAAAAACTCACTTCCCCTTCATAAGATAAGATCATAAGCAGAGGTGGTATTCAGGAGGTTCTGACCAGTTCTGGAGAACTGGTAGCGGAAATTTTGAGTAGTTCTGAGAACCGGTAAATGCCACCTCTGACTGGCCTCGCCCCCATCTATTCTCTGCCTCCCAAGTCCCAGTTGATTGGGAGGAAATGGGGATTTTGCAGTAACCTTCCCCTGGAGTGGGGAAGGAATGGAGATTTTACAGTATCCTTCCCCTGCCACGCCCGCCAAGCCATGGCTACCAAGCCATGCCACGCCCACAGAACTGGTAGTAAAAAATTTTTAATCCCACCACTGATCATAAGACTTGACAGAAAAAAATGCTAACCAGATACAAGTTTAATCAATTATTAATTGATAAATAATAAGATAATTATTATTAAGATTAAACTGATTTTAGATTCTAAATGGGCCTGGTGGCTCAGCAGACTGATAGCATTGTGATTAACACCAGCTGTCTGCAATTACTGTAAGTTCCAATCTTACCAGGCTCAAGGTTGACTCAGCCTTCCATCCTTTCTAAGGTAGGTAAATTGAGGACCCAGTTTGTGGGGGCAATAAGCTGACTTTGTATAAATATACAAAAGTATGAAGGCTATTGCTTAACGCATTGTAAGCCGCCCTGAGTCTCCAGAGAAGGGAGGCATATAAATCAAATGTTAACAAAAATGAAATAAGACAACTAAAACCACAAAGATGAGATACCCTGGGAGAGGGAAATAAGAATAGCTTATTTCATTTCAATACTGGTAGTCCTTGACTAACAACAGTTCATTTAGTGACCATTCGAAGTGACAATGGCACTGACAAAAATGGCAGTGACAAAAAAGTGACATGACCATTTTTCACACTGATGACTTTTGCAGCATCCTCAGGGTCACGCGATTTACATTTGGATGCTTGGCAGCTGGTTCATATTTATGACGGTTGCAGTGTCCCAGGGTCATGTGATCACCTTTTGCAACTTTCTGACAAGCAAAGACAGTGGGGAAGCCAGATTCACTTAACAACAGTGTTACTCCTTTTAACAACTTCAGTGATTCACTTAACAAATGTGGCAAGAAAAGTCATAAAATGGGGCAAAACTCACTTAACAAATTTCTCACTTAAAAAAATAAATATTGGACTCAACTGCGATCATAAGTTGAGGACTACCTGTAAAATAAAGCTGGTAACAAGATAGTTGCAGGCATAACAATTAAGAACATGTATTTGGAATGTGTGCAAAAAGGTTTCATCCAAGAAGACTTCAGAATTTTGTCAAATATTAGTGTTGCTTTATGTAGAGTGAAAGTGTTTTAGATATTTTAAATATGTTTATATAATTTTATTTTTAAAAATACATAAGTATTGAATACATGAACAGTGTGGCATCTGGGTATCGTTAGTTTTGATACATATAATAATGATAATATTGATAATATTAGTTACATTTATAATACTCAGTAATATAATATTATCAATATTAAAATTGAAGTTATTAACAAGTTAGTATTTGCTCCGCCATATATATAATCCTTCATCATTTAATTATTCAATATTTTAATACACAATACTAATAACAATAGTAATATTTAAGTATACGTAATAAAATCATCTTTCAACATCTAATCTTTACATCTACATATTAATTTTAAAATATTATATTGGAATATGCATAATATTAATATTTTAAAAACTATCATGTAAAGCGAAACTATCTTAGATACAATATACAGCATGTACCTTTTTATGGTGTATCCTGCAGAAGAGCAAATATAATAAATAGAAGTTTCCAATGCTGAAAAGCAGGTTAATGAATCGGAGGATTCCTGTAGAGCAGAGGATGCTTTCAGACCAGCCAAAGAGCCAGCCTATGGGCTTCAGGATTCCAACTGACAGCAAGTACAAACCGGGCAATGTGGTGATCATTGGATCCCACTATCAGAAAAAAATAAAATAAAAAAGAATATTACAAATGGACAATTTCTATGTAGGCAAAACACAAAACATATTTCAGCTCCTTGCATTTCCCCAAATTCTCCAAACATTTATTTTAGATAGATAGAATTCTTTATTGGCCAAGTGTGATTGGACACACAAGGAATTTGTCTTTGGTGCATATGCTCTCAGTGTACATAAAAAGAAAAAAAAATACATTCATCAAGAATCATAAATACAACACTTAGTGATAATCATAGGTTACTAATAAGCAATCAAATTGTACTAGGAAACAAATAAAAACAACATAAATTGAAAGATACAAGCAACATGGTTATAGTAATAAGTGGGAAGGGATAGATACTAAGAAGGAAGAGAAGAATGATAGTAATACAGACTTAACAAATTATTTGACAATGTTGTGGAAATTAGTTGTTAAGCAGAGTGATGGCATTCGGGGAAAAACTGTCCTTGTGTCTAATTGTTTTGGTGTGCAGTGCCCTACATTGATGGCAGAAATTGAAACAATGTATGCCCAGTAAATTTAACAATTTATGTTAAATTACATCTATGTTAAATTTATTATCCAGTAAATTTAACAATTTGTTAAATTACATTTATGTTGAATTTATTATCCAGTAAATTTAACAATTTATGTTAAATTATTAACATAATTTAATAAAATATTACTTTACTTTGTTGTTGCTTGTATCCTTACGATTTATATTGATATTGTTTCCTGATTGCTTATTTGTAACCTATGGCTATCATTTAAGTGTTGTACCTTATGATTCTTGATGAATGTATCTTTTATGTACACTGAGAGCATATGCACCAAAGACAAATTCCTTGTGTGTCCAATCACACTTGGCCAATAAAAAAATTCTATTCTATTCTATTCTATTCTATTCTATTCTATTCTATTCTATTCTATTCTATTCTAAACTCATAGTACTAAACACAGTAACAACAAAATAGTGGATGGATGGATATTGACCACTTGGGGGGAACCCTGGTCTATTGGGAAAAAAAGGGAGGAGATTGTCCTCTCCTCCCTCCAACCAAACGGGCCCTTCAGATTTGAAGAACGTCAACTTCCATCAGTCCCTTCCAAGCAAAGGCAATGGTGAGGGAAGAGGATGGGATTTGTAGTCCAAAAGAATCTGAAGGCAAGAGGCTGGTCCAGTGCTTCGTGTAAGCGAGGATGGAGAAGTGATAGGAAAAAAAGGGAGGGAGGGAAGGTCTATTTTGCGGGATATTAATTAAGAAGGCAACCCCAAGGAGCTGCCTATGGAGCCTGCAAAGCTCCGCACTTTGCAACGGTGCTGCGTCCGGAGATCCGCTGGCCCGCCCGGCCGCCTACCTGCTGGAATCGCCCCGCGCAATAAGCTTGCGCCTGCGGGACGTGGAAGGCCTCGTCCATGTAGGCCTCCCGCTGCTGCCGGTTGAACGCGGAGAAAAGCAGGCAGGAGGCGAGGAAGGTGCAGCTCAAGGCCGCCGAGAAGCAGGAAGCCTCGGAGCGCTCCATGGCGCGGCGGCTCCCGTCCGCTTTGGCCCAGGCACCCTGGGCGGAAGGAGACCGGCAACGGGGAACGAGGGGAGGTTTCTACGCCGGAGAGGCCTTCCCGGCGGGAAACGGGTCGGCTGGAGGGAAGGAGGAGCCTCGGCGGGCCGCTGCTCTTGACCCCGCATGCAGGTTTGTGGGCCTCGCCCGGCTGCGGCCTCCTAACCCCGGGATAGCAAAACAGGGCGGGGGGTGTGGTGTAGTGCCGGCCTACTTTACAGCCCTGGTGCAAAAATTCTCCTTTTCTCTTTCTTAAGGAGTGAATTTTTTTCTGCATGCTTCTTTGTTGGTGCTCAAGGTGTTCAGGGGCTGTGATGGGTTTGGGGTGGATGGGTGGGGGGGGGGTTGCAATGTTGCCTAGAGAGCACCGTAGGGGGGGAAAAAACCTGTATAAAAATGCCCTTTAAGAAAGGATCCAATGCCTACCGTGGCCTTTTTTAAAAAGAAAGAAAGAAAAAGAAAAAGAGCAAACGGGTTAGGGAAAGGTGGGATGAGTGCAGCGTTGTTCCTCCTCCTTCTGTAGATTACCTTAGAAGGAGTGAAGTTCAAATAATAATAAATAATTAAAATTACTGCATTCATATAATTTATCTTTTTTATATAGAATAGAATAGTGTATAGCGTGGTGTAGTGTATAGTATAGTAATAGTAGTTATAGTTAGTATAGTATAGTGTATAGTATAGCAATAGTAAAGTTATAGTATAGTTAGTATTGTTGTGGATTTAATAAGACAAACACAACTTTTGGGTTAATCAGAGACAAATTGTATATTGCGCAATAGGTTCAAAGCTCTGTACATGAAGCGTTGAACAAAGACAGAAATAAGGTACAATGGTTTTATACCCTTCTAGACAAAGGATTCTGTTAACTCAGCAATTCATATGGTCATATACATTTGTCATTTTTAATTGACATTTCCTAATTACTGAGTTTCTTTGCAAAACAGTTATAATTCTTTTTGTAGATTACTGAAGCATAGACTCAAATCATCTTCTGACGATAGACAACTTTTAACTCATGTGGATCCCCTTGACCTAACCAACCTTTAAGCTGTATGTCATTAGAATGTTCCTTTCTTCTGACAACTTAGAGGCCTCCTAGAGGAACCAAAAGGATTTTGGCTGAGTTTGTACTTTTTCCAACTGGATGCATTGCTTTTTAGAATAGAGTGAATAGAAAGTTATCCAGTGGTCATCTATCAGAGCTCGCTTCATTTACATTAGTATAGTATAGTGCATAGTATAGGGTATAGTAAGTATAGTATAGTAATAGTAAAGTTATAGTATAGTGTAGTTATAGTATAGATATAGTTATAATATAGTTATAGTTTATAGTATAGTAATAGTAAAGGTATAGTATAGTTTACATAGTTATAGTTATAATGTATAGTATAGTATAGTACAGTATAGTATAGTATAATAGGAAGGGACCTTGGAGGTCTTCCAGTCCAACCCCTTGCTTAGGTAGGAAACCCTATTTCATCTCAGACAAATGGTTATCCAACATCTTCTTAAAAACTTCCAGTGTTGGAGCATTCACAACTTCTGCAGGCAAGTTGTTCCACTGATTAATTGTTCTAACTGTCAGGAAATTTCTCCTTAGTTCTAAGTTGCTTCTCTCCTTAATTAGTTTCCACCCGTTGCTTCTTGTTCTACCCTCAGGTGCTTTGGAGAATAGCTTGACTGCCTCTTCTTTGTGGTAGCCCCTGAGAAATTGGAACACTGCTATCATGTCTCCCCTAGTCCTTCTTTTCATTAAACTAGACATACCCAGTTCCTGGCACCGTTCTTCATATGTTTTAGCCTCTAGTCCCCTAATCATCTTTGTTGTTCTTCTCTGCACTCTTTATTTCATTTTTATCCCACCAACTCAAGGTGGAGAACCTAAATTATACTGTGTCCTCCTCCTGTTTTCCCCACCACAACAATCCTGTGTCCTCCTGTTTTCCCCACCACAACAATCCTCTGAGGTAGGCTGGGCTGAGGGAGAATGACTGGTCCAAAATCAACCAACTGGCTTTTTATGCCTAAAATAGGAATATAATTCAAGGTCTTCTGATTCCTAGGCCAGCCCCTTAATAGAGTCATAGACCTGGAAGGGATATCAGAAGGTCTTCTAGTTCAACCCCCTGCTTAAGGCAGGAGACATATGTATCATCCTTAACAAATTGTTGCCCAGACTATTCTTGAAAACCTCCAGCAAGGGAGCACCCACAACTCCTGAAGGCAAGCTGTTTTATACCTGTACATTGCTTTTTTTCTGCCTAAATACAGTTTCCTACTTTTCTCACTACTTTAACAGATTAACAGAGTTGGAAGGGACTTGTAGGTCATCTAGTCCAACCCCCTGCCCAAGCAGGAGACCCTACACCATTTCTGACAGATGGCAGTCTAGTCTCTTCTTGAAAGCTTCCAGTAATAAGCTTCCCACAACTTCTGAAGGCAACTTCTGTTCCATGGGTTGATTGTTCTCACTGTCAGAAAGTTCCTCCTTGTTTCTAGCTTGAATCTCTCCTTGGTCAGTTTCCATCCATTATTCCTTGTCTGGCCTTCAGGTGCTTTGGAAAACAGCTTGACCCCCTCTTCTCTGGGCCCAATGTTGACTCAAGTCTGTCAAAGTCATTCTGAATCTTGAGTCTATCTTCCAAAGGGTTAGCAGTTCTCCCCAAATTGATGTCATCTGCAAATCTGATGAGTTCCTGCTCTATCATCCTATTTAGATCATTTATGAATTAATAACCAGTAGACCAAACTGGCTCTATTATGCATTAATAAATAACATGCATTAATCAATAGATGTGTTAATTAATGTAGTGATAATTATTATAGAATTATAAATAATGAATATTATATAGTTCAATTATAGCCTTAAATATAATTTAATGATTGTATAATATAAAAATATAATTTAATTATTGCATTATGATTAATAATGTGGTATTTTATTTACATAATAGTACAAATAATATATCATAATTCTAACTATACTATATTACTTATACAGGTAGTCCTCGATTTACAGCAATTTGTTTAGTGACCAAAGTTACAATGGCACTGAAAAAAGTGCCATTTTTCACACAACTGTTGCAGCCTCCCTGATGGTTGCAGTATGTCTTGGGGTCATGTGAACAGTTTTTGCAACCTTCTGACAAGCAAAGTCAATGGGGAAGCCAGATTCGCTTAACAACCGTGTTACTAACTTAACAACTACAATGATTTTATTCTGTGAGCCGCCCCGAGTCCTACGGGAGAAGGGCGGCATATAAATATGATAATAAATAAATAAATTCACTTAGCAACTAGCTAGAAAGGTCGTAAAGTGGAGCAAAACTCACTTAAACAACATAAATTTTGGACTCAATTGTGGTCGTATTTTAGCAAAGGTTAATGTGAATTTCCTTTATCCATGTTAAATTTTGTTTTTCTTTTCTACTGACTTATTTTTTTTAAATTATCACAATATAAATATTACCATAACCCGAATCCTCACCTAATTTTTAGAACTAACTTCCTTCCTTCCTTTCCTTCCTCCCTTCCTTCATTCCTTCCCTCTTTCCCTCCCTTTCTTTTAGCAAGCATCATCAACAAAACAATTTTTAAACTTAATATTTTAGAAGTAATCTTGAGGGAAGATTTCTTGAAAAATGTCATGATACATCACATGACATCAATGTGACATGGCAAGTTTGACACCCGTGATATAGAAAGATATACAGTAGGTATTCTCCTGAAAAAAATAGTTAGTTAACTAAAAATTAGCAGGATCGGTACCGAATGTTATGACTAAACCAGCTTTTTGTCAAATGAAAATGTAAAGAGCACATTAAAAAAACAGCTTTAACTTACTTTGTCTGTGCTATGAGAACACACTTTGTGTACGTTGGAACGAAGGGCTTGAAAAGCTATTTTTATAAAGGTGCATCTTATAATTAATTACAATGTTGAGTGTGATCTATTGTCATTTTGTGTGAAAGACCTTGAAGAAGAGGAGCTAATAGGAACTTTGAGGTATCCTATATGTGCATGGAAGCAAAGAATTTTTACACGGTCGCTACAAATGAACTCTGGATACTCAGGCAGCTGTGAAAATTAATTAACCGTAAGTTCACATTTTTTTAAAAATGTTGATAATCCTACTCATATTGGCACAATTTTCTTACTTGGGGACAAAAAGGCTGAGAAAAAAATTCAGGAGAACAGCAATGATCTTTTCTCTGTAGAAAAAATATTCTGGAAGCTGTTCCAATGTAAAAGCCAAAGCTTGTTGGAGAACAGGTAATTAGTGTAAGATCACGTTTCATAAAACCTAATCAATTCTGAAACACAAACCCACTCAGTTTAATTTTCCAGATGTTAACATTGGATAGATCACTAGCCGCACTTCATAGCAATCCAGGATAGACCTGATCCCTTCTAGTCATCTCACAGAATTAATCTTTAAACTTCATTACGTCTCTGTTTTCCAAATATAGAAGATTAAATCTAAACAGTTTCCAAATGTAACTTTCAAATGTTTACACATGTTCCAGGTTTGATTAATTCAGAAGGAGCTTACTGTTCTGGTAGAAGATGGAATGTTTAACACATCGGTTAGAATTGTTTCCTGACTGCCTTGTGACTCTTATCCTATTTAATGGTGTGAAAAATGCTGCTATTCTGCGGAGGAAAGCAATGGAAGGTGCTATTGATGGAGCATTAATTAATCCTTCAATGGTAAGCAACTTGTCTCCACTTTACGTATTTAGTAACGTTCAGAATTCACTAAGTCACATACTGTGTGTAAAAAAAAAATCCAGTGAGTAGAAACTTATAACAAAATAAATAATTTTCACCTGAATGTTTAAATTGCCTGCTCAAACTTCTGGAACATGGTTTCTAGTGATTTTATTTTCCTTCTTGACCCTATTTCTGTGAAAAGTGTTTTGTTGAAGTTCTTTTAAACAGAATAGCATTATTATTTTCCTGAAAGCTAAATTATAAATATTAAGAGGTAGGTGTCTTATCTTTCCCTGGGTAGAAATGTGATACATAGTTTAAATTTTAATATAAATACGGAGTTAGCCTAAATGTACTGTTCCATTACTATTCCATTCCATAGCCGTAAAATAGAGGATTGCTTTCCTAAAGTATCATTTTATTAGACTAAAAAAATGCAAGTTGTTGTTCTAGAACTGTTACAGCAGTTGAAAACTTCATTATATTTTCTCTGGCAGGTTGTTGATCCTTTTCAGATACTAGTAGCTGCAAATAAAGCTGTTCATCTCTACAAAATTGGCAAAATGAAGACAAGAACACTTAATGCTGAAATCATATTCAACCTTTCACCGAACAATAATGTGAGAAAGTTATAACTGGGACTGAGATACTGTAGTCCCTCTGATTTGTTTCATGCAGCTTCACACTCTACAGACATATTCCTTTATTCTTTGGGCTATCATTTTTCTTCTGCTTTGTGGGTTGGTATACTGTCAGGAGAAAAAGAGAAAAAAAATGTTGAATTATAGTGAGAAAGGAAGAGGAAAAAGTAGTATAATAATACAAGAAGCTTCACCTACTATTGGGATTTGTTTTGTTTCGTTTTTGCTAGCCTCCAGCTGCAACTTCCCATTTTACTGGAGACCAAAGCATAATCAAAAGAGAAGAGCCATGTTGGTGCAGTGGTTAGAATGCAGTATTATTTTATTAGTTCAATTTATATGCTCTCCTTTTCTGGAGACTCAGGGTGGCTTACAATGCGTTAAGCAATAGCCTTCATACTTTTGCATATACCTGCTTAGTAGGGCTTTCGCGCCCCCCTAAGCAGTGTTCTTTTTTATGCAAAGTCAGTTTATTGCCCCCACAATCCGGGTCCTCATTTTACGTACCTCGAAAGGATGGAAGGCTGAGTCAGCCTTGAGCCTGGTGAGATTCGAACTTGCAATAATTGCAGGCAGCTGGTGCTACTTATCAGCACTTTAATCTGCTGTGCCACTAAGGCTCTTGCAGGCTGACTCTGCCCTTTGCCAGGAGTTCAGTCCTGATCAGCTCAAGGCTTCCATCCTTCTGAGGTCGGTAAAATGAGGACCCAGATTATTGGGGGCAAAATGCTGACTCTGTAAACTGCTTAGAGAGTGCTATAAAGCACTATGAAGCGCTATATAAGTCTAAGTGCTATTGCTGTTGCTGTAACATATCCCCCAATGTTAACCATTCTTAATTTGTACTATGCTCTAAATCAACTTTTCAATATTGACTGAAAGTATTGAAAGAAGGAAATATTACATACCTTATTCTCAGTTAAGTGAAAATAATATGTAGATCATTGGATCTTCTAAATGGGAAGGTTATTTTTGGAATAGCGTCTAGATTGTCAGGTACTAATGACTATGACTAATACAAGACTATATTTTCCTTTAATGTTAGATTACAGATGCCTTCAAAAAATTCGGCATTTCTGATAGCGACTCTGCACTACTCATAGTTTTGATTGAACACGAAGAGAAAACTGTGAACGTGAACCATCTAATAAGTCAAGTAGACGGCCAGCAAGTTTCCATAGCAGATCTCTCTGAAATAAATGACATACAAAAAATTAAGAAGGTTTGTTTCAGTTTCTCTGAGTAAGAAGATATAATAAAGAAGCATTTTAATAAATTAAAACATTGAAGTTTCAATGCAGTGTAGCAGGTGATCACTTGACTATTATCATCAAGGTTAGGATAGTTTTCTCTCATATACGGATGTATAAGATTGCAAACATATAAAAAAAGTGTTTGCTTAATCTTTCACTTACATATCTTACCTCTCCCCCCAAAAAAACTGAATTGGTTTCAGTTGCCTGGAAATCTAAATGTCAATATAGTCAAGCCTTTTCCTAACTTCCAGCTACATATTTGGAAAGTAGCAGAACGAGGAAGACTGATGTAACTAATAAAAAATGTAAATGTCATAACACAACCTATAAACTTAGGGGTAAGCAGCTTGTAAGCTGTTAAGTGTCATGTCTCCTGTGCTACTGAAATTCAGAGGAAGATCATATTAGTACACAACTGAGTTTCTGGCTTCTTTCTGCACTTCTACATTTTCAGAAGAGGTTTCTTGAGATATTTTCTTTTATTCTGTGCCTCCATGGCCTCTTTCAGGGCAACTCTGAAATGTAAAACTGCCAGTGGTATCTGCTCTCCAGGCGTTGAGCAGATGACCCCCTTCAAACAATTTTAAACAAACAGAAATAAATACTTCGTAGAATCATGCTGTCCCTTGAGAAAGTCACCATTCTATTATCTTTGCAGGTATATAAACTCACTCCACAAGAAGAAAAAATAGGCACCCTGCTGGATGGCATCATTTGCAGAATGGCAACCAAAGAAATATGACCGCATTAGAACGACAGCAGTTTGTTACCGAAAGAAATTTTATTTTAATTTTTTCCCTCTCTTGTTATGCCAGCATTAAATGTATTTTGGAATCTCTGATTTGATTTGAAGCACAATTTTATTACACGAAGCAGAATGATGCAGCTTTTTAAAGTGCTCTGCTGCCAGTAATTAATGATTGTCAAATGTAAATATTAAAATTTAAAATTGCAGAATTCTGAGGCCCTTTCCCTGCTTTGCATGCCACCATGATTCTTTGACTCAAAGTCTCAGTTATTTTCTGGGAAACACAGAGCAGTGAGTAAAATTGAAGGTTGGCTCAGCCTTCCATCCTTTCTAAGGTAGGTAAATTGAGGACCCAGTTGTGGGGGGCAATAAGCTGACTTTGTATAAATATACAAAAGAATGAAGGCTATTGCTTAACGCATTTTAAGCCGCCCTGAGTCTCCGGAGAAGGGCGGCATATAAATCAAATTTTTTTAAAAAAATTGCAACAAATTATCAATAGAATTTTTGGCAATGAAAAAAATGGGAACTTTAAGATAATTCTGTACCGATTCCCTGCTTTCATCTCATTTCAGTCTAATGAAAGTCTCACAGAACTCATACTCTGTTGCTCCAAACAGAGACTTTTTCCATGTGAGTTTTTAAAAACATTTTAATTTAATTAATTAATTTTTTTAATTGAGAGTTAATCTGAGTTCTCCAGGAGGATAATTCTACTTCTTTGTAGCATCTCCAATAGCCATATTTATAACCATGGTATGTACTAGTCATTTGTTTTCATAGGTACTGTTAAGTTTCTTCCATCTCACTCTGTTGTTCGAGTTCTCCTACCCTTGGCCAAACTTTGTATCTTGAGGTTATCGTCTCTTCTTTGATCAGATGGACCCAACACAGATAAATTCCGCTTTGCTGTAACCCTAATTTTATTTTTTCTATAGTCTTATTGCAGTTGTTCTACCTTCTTGTTTCAACCAAACATAACCTGCATAGCATGGCCATGTTACTAGATCATAACTCATTCCGTTATATTTTTTCCTTTGGGGAAGCCTCTTCTTATGATTGATTTTTTTGTTGCACCTTTGAATTAAAAATGCCCTTTTTTTCTGGAAAATTGATGTTATTTTTCTTCAGGTGGTCATGGGAGTCTACTTCTTCCCAAGCTTTCTGAACATCACTCACAGCTGGTTTCTTGTTATTAGTAGGCTAGAAAATGCAGGTTGCACCAGATTGATATCTATAGTGCTCCAATGGAATAAGCCCAAGATCATATTTGGAAGATTTCTTCCTTAATCTTGGATCTGAATTGCCCTAATCTAGATTTTCTCAATTTGGTGCCCTCTGTTTGTCTTTGAAATAGCAACTGCAGTGGTCATGTTGGCTGGAAATTCTGGAAGGTGCACGATCAATACATTTATTGTGCTAATGCTAGGTTGGGAAAGCCTGACAGCTTTAATCTTTGAACATGGAGCATTTTGTTCCAAATCTTGCAGCTTTTTTTTTTTTTATTTTATAGATCTATGCATGTGATTACACTTTAAAAATGTAGAAAATGTTCTGTCCTACTGCTTCCTTGGGGTTATGTCAAATTTGCTCCCCAAACAAATTAAAGACATTTAAATTGGGTAAATACACTCCTCAGAGTGACACCACCAGAACTGACCTGAGACTTTGACGTTTAGCTATTTATATTTCAACTGCCCACCTTCCTCAGAGATTTATAACATAGACAGTTGTAGATTTGGCCAACGAATGTTTTTACTGGTAAACTAGATGCATTTGATGTATTCATACAAGTTGTAACAAAACCTGATCTCCAGATGCTTCTTTGAGTTATCAAAGTTGAGAAGCTCACGGTTCACATATCAAGCTAAAAACCCTTTCAGTCCACTAACTCCTGACCCATTTACACATTGCCCAGTCGGACATGGGAAATTTAGAATATGCACCATAATTATGCATTGTACTATATTGTTTGTAGAAGAAATAAAGATGTCAGCCATGAAATCTGAAACGTAAGCACTTGTTGAAAAATAAATAAAAGAAAAAAGGATTAGCACAAAATAAAATTGTGTACTACCCAGTTTTCCAACAGTGTATTTGAAGGTGCGTTCTAACCTAGCCCTTACTACTGCATTAAGATATTTGCAATATTTTCTTATGAAGGATTAGGCAACACGGAATAGTAAAAGTTTGATTGGTTTTACAGGTTTTTTTCGACAAGTTACCTTTTAAAAATCTTGCTGAGGAAGAAAAGAATAACTAGAAATGGATGAGAAAAGGATAAAGAGCTTTGAACACAGCTCAGCCTTGGTAGCACATTTTATCATGGAAAATTAAAGATTTGTTTTCGTTCCCTGACAAAACAAATGGCACATGGAATATATCATTTGTCTTGCTGGCTGAAATGAAGCTTCTATTTTTGGTAACTTTAACGGGTGGCGAGCAGGTAGATTTAAATCATATCCTTTTTTGAACATAAATGAAAAATGTCTCGCATGCAGTTAACATAAACTGATGTGCTGTAACTTTGTTGTTCCCTGGGTGAATGCTTCGTCAATTTTACCCTTAGTGGTAGAATACATTGAGAGATGAACTGAGCCTGGATGATTTTTAAAAATTTTTTTAAAAAACTTCAGAGTGATAGTCTAGCTTGGGTGTTGGTAAAAAATCTTGAGAGATAGGTAGAAATCTTCAGCTTCTATTATGAAGTAGTTGTTAAGGCAGCCTTTCTTTGCCTTTTTATATTGGGAGAACCCTTGAAATAATTATTTAATTGTATTTTAATGGTTTTTTAACATTTGTATTATATGTATTTTATCTTTTGGCTGTTCACTGCCCTGAGTCCTTCGGGAGTAGGGCGGTATACAAATTTAATAAATAAATAAATAAATAAATAAATAAATAAATAAATAAATAATAATAATAATAATAATAATAATAATAATAATAATAATAATAATGTTCAGGTCTGAGGGGAATCCCTGCATAAAAATCACACACAAAAGAAATCCCTTCACAATTCAATTTGCTTCTAAATCACCACACTTTTCAATGTTTATAGCAGCAGCAAAGGAGCAGCCTAGTGTCTGAGTTAAAGAAAGTAAAAAATTCCCATAATTTTAGAAGTTTTAGGAGGTGACATGAGTTTTTGAAGCATCTACAAAGTGAATAGCACCCATTTGGTACCTCTTTTGGCTCTGCATACCTTGGAGGCCAAGTTAATAAGAGCGCCTCTCTGAGAGAGAGATGGGTGGTTCAAAAATGTGAAAAATTAATAAATAATAAACGAAACCAGTTAATCTCCAATTCATACAGGTCATAAGTATAAACCATTTTGCTGGCCACGAACTACAGTTGACTTGATAAACCAAGTCACATATTAAGCTTGATTTCATTTAGATTTAAGTTAAGTACTTCTAATTTAATTAATCTCAGAACCATTTTCTCCATCAGCTACAATTTCATGACAACTTTTGGAAGTCTTGGTGTTATTCTAGACTTTGGGGGTAGGGGTGAGGGCTGCAAAAACTGAAATTTCAGGCTAAGCTTTCTAATCTAAAGGAACGCTTGTGGTTGGTAAAGCCCACCGTTATTAGTTTTTTAAGCAACCTACACATAGTTTAAATCAAACTTCCCCAATCCAATGTTCCCAGATGTGCTGCACATAGTTTTCCATTATTTCTTGCCAGAAAATAACTATATTCCTAGGGCCATGGGGACGATGATCAGCATCTCTTTTTCCAGGGCCATTAAAAATGTAAGAAAAATCAGGTACAGGTTGCTGATAAGTAGACCATTTAAAAATAAGGAACAGCTTTCTAACAGTAAAATTTGTACAATATGGAACAGTGTGCCTATGGAGATTGTGGGTTCTCTATTTTTGGAAGCTTATAAAAAGCTGGACATTTTTCTGCCTACTTTGTATTGCAGAGGGTTAGACCATATCAGTGGTCTAATCATATCAACTTGGCAACTTTAAGAGGTGTGGAATTCGTGAAGTCTACATATCTTAAAAATGACAAAGCACAGAAACACTGGGCTACAGGATCATTGTGGATTCTTCCAACTACAGTTCTATGGTTTTAGGAAAACTGAATGTTAAACTTTTCTTCCTGGTATTTATGGGTGTCTTAACAACCACCCCTAACTTGTCATGTTCTAGATACCTTGAACTATAATTCTCATGATCCTTACTCAGCACGCATATTGACCATATTAACTGGATAATGAGATTCATAATTTTTATCTTCAGTGGGTCATAAAATTTAGGAAGTCTGGTGTCATGTGTTCTCAGCCTCTGTGAATAAATCTTGGGCAATAAATGGTGATCCTCTAGCAAAGAAACAATACTATAATAATCACATGTTTAAATATAACCTTTACCACAGGAACTCAGACAGTTTTTCTAATGCTAATTAATTCACCTTTCCAATCCTTCAGTATTATGGGCAAGTGTTACATTCACGCTGCAGATAAAAGGGAAATGACAAGAATTTTTAAATGCCAATGGTTACGTAAATGGCAGGACTCCTGGAGTCCTTTCCTTTCCTTTCCTTTCCTTTCCTTTCCTTTCCTTTCCTTTCCATACTAGTTGAAGAACCCCAAAAATGTCACTGCAGCATCTTTATGCTTCCCAATGCCCTCCAGATAATGTGGGCTATAGTACTTTGTTTTCTTTAATCAGGATGGCCATTAGCCATGATGGCCAATAATTGCATGAGTTAAAGTTCAGCATCACCGGATCTCAGTCTTCTGAGTTAGAAATCCTGCTACACACTTAGCTATAAATTAAATAATATAAACCTCTACATAGGAGTTCAGATTCCAGTTATCCAGTTTTCTATTAACATTATATAGTAGGGAGGAAGAACATAGCATTGTTGTTATCTACCCATTTTTTAAATAACTGAATTTAGCCTGAATAGAGGGCATAAAGTAAAGAGGGACACGGTGGCTCAGTGGCTAAGACACTGAGCTTGTTGATCGAAAGGTCGGCAGTTTAACGGTTCGAATCCCTAGTGCCATGTGACGGGGTGAGCTTCCATTACTTGTCCCAGCTTCTGCCAACCTAGCAGTTCGAAAGCATGTAAAAAATGCAAGTAGAAAAATAGGGACCACATTTGGTGGGAAGGTAACAGCATTCTATGCGCCTTTGGCATTGAGTCATGCTGGCCACATGAGCATGGAGATGTCTTCAGACAGTGCTGGC